ATTTAAATAAGGCTGGATACAAAAAGAAGCTCGATGTATGGGTGCCACACGAGTTAACGCAAAAAAACCTCATGGACCGAATTTCCATCTGCGAATCGCTGCTGAATCGCAACAAAATCGACCCATTTCTGAAGCGAATGGTTACTGGTGATGAAAAGTGGGTCACTTACGACAACGTCAAGCGAAAACGGTCGTGGTCGAATCGCGATGAGCCGGCGCAAACGGTGGCCAAGCCAGGATTGACGATCAGGAAAGTTTTGCTGTGTGTTTGGTGGGATTGGCAGGGAATCATCTACTATGAGCTGCTCCCCTACGGCCAAACTCTTAATTCGGACCTGTACTGTCAACAATTGGACCATCTGAAAGAAGCAATCGCCCAGAAGCGGCCAGCTTTGGCCAATAGGAGAGGAATTGTGTTCCATCATAGACAACGCCAGGCCACACACATCGATAGTGACTCGCCAGAAGCTCCGAGAGCTTGGTTGGGAGATTCTTATGCATCCACCTTATAGTCCGGACCTGGCACCAAGTGATTACCACCTGTTCCTGTCTATGGCGAATGATTTTGCTGAAAAATTCGCCTCAAGAAAAGCTTGTGAAAATCGACTGTCCCAGTTTTTTGCCAATAGGGACGAGGGTTTCTATGAGAGAGGCATAATAAAATTACCTTCAAAATGGCAACAAGTTATCGAACAAAACGGTGCATATTTGACCTAAATCGGATCATTCTAACCATGCTAAATAAAGCCTTCAATTTAATGCAAAAATAATAGATTTCTTTTTACTACACCTAATAATACATCGATAATTACTAACAGATAGGAATAACCGTCATTGTAACCTTTTAGATTTCGGAATTCGACCAAATCTGCCTTCCACACATCGTCAATGTTTGTCATGTTGTAATGCAATCGAGGAAATTTTCTGCGCAATGATCGGTGCAACGTGTACGCGTCTTGCGATTCCAGCCAGCTTCTCCCCGTGAGAAATTCGGTTTAACGGCGCGAGTTAGATTATCCACTACCGAATAATCCGCATAATTTGACGGATCGTAGTATAGTTTTTCAAACGTCATCGTTATCTCAATTTTTTCCAACCGAGCAACCGATTTTTCCCTGTTTGCAAAGATACGGGGGTATCAGTTTTTCATGTGAGAGAAAGAATCAGCGAGCTTTCCTCATCTATTTCTTGTTCGTAATTTTTACGTTTTTCTCCTTCCTCGGGTTCTCGATACAATCGACGTGGAACTCGCTCTTTCGATGTAACAGGCGTGGAACTCGCGCGCGGTCGAAGTTTTATGACGTTTACAGCATCAGCATGCGTGGACAATAAACTTTTATTTCTCACCAGTGCAGAAGGTATGTTCAGCACACGGAGTAATCGTGCAAACTGATTTCTACCCACTGCTTTCACGGTTTTTCTCTCGCGCATTGCATCGTTTATTAAGTCAGTGATATTCGAATCTTTCACGACGTTACCATCTATAGTCACGATTCCGTGTTCGTCCCAACTAAGTCTATCGGGCACAGCTTTTCGAAGCAAATGTTTCATTAGTAAGTGTGCATGCTTACGATAAGATTTCGGTACGCTTTCCAGTATTTCCTCGATGCTTTTCATCATGATTGTGCTCGCTCGAAATTTCAAAATTTTTTGCAGTAATATCTGTGTACTATACTAATGGAATGTGATGACAGTGGTATATCGGATGTTTGCGTGAGATCATGAAAAACGTCATCGTTCGTCATCTCGTTATCATCGGAGGCATCTCGTGTAGCGTTGTCTTCTACATTTTCGTTTTCGTTACATACGTCTTTCTGTCTTCGCGTTTCTCGGATAAACCGTGGTATCTCCATAATGCCTCTCTGTACATTTTCCACCTGTCGCTTTCGTCACGAGGCCATCTGGAATTGAGAATACAACTCATCTCCGCATCGAGTCGTGTTATATGAGTTCCCGGAGTTTGCGTTGTGCTCAAGCTGTTATCCGAATTTTGCGGTACTGCTATTTCTTTTGACTCTCCATCAACGAACGATGTCGGATTCTGACATAGCTGATGTTGCATTCTCTCCAGATTTTCCGTCGAAATTAAAACCATTTTTTTAGCCCTCTCCATAACAATTTATCTCTACTATTTCGTTCCTTCGATAATTAGTGATAATAAGATCGATAATATAGGTCTGATAATATAAGGTAAAAATCCACCTCGCTGGATCAACAGCTTTCTTTGATCCTTTCAATTACCGCGTTTTGCAACGACGCGATGCAGAGCTTTTTTGTATTTGGTTAACCGGTTTTTTTCACTCCGTTCGAGCGAGACGTTACCTCTGAGTGTATTAAAAACACATTTACAGATATAACGAATTAGTTTTTCGTCAGCGTTACGCAAAAAGGTTGCGGGTTGATTTTTGTTCAAATGATAGAGCGCCGCGAGGAAACAGGCGTTCCTCTTACCGATCCAATGTGTGGCGATTTTCGTTACCTGTGCTCTGTGCGATTTCACGTTACCTACCTTCATCGCGGGGAAAAATCTACGACTGACATGCGCAATTATCCGTACTCAACTTTTATACGTATCCGCTGGAAAATGATCGCGGCACATAGACGTAATGAATCGTATCTTCGGGAAAAATACACGTTCGAAATCGATACTCGTCCGGGGTTGATTGTTTCAGATCGAGCAGCAAATACCCGTGAGGCCTCGATGTGGCGTCGTAGTATGCCTCTTCTAGAAATTTCGGATCGTCGGGATAGACTTGACGCGCTAAATGACGAATTTGAGCACGATCAAGTGGATTTTTGAAAACGACGATGTAATTCGCGTTAAGTGATATATTGCGCTGCCCCTGGTGGAATAGATTCTGCGAGATAAGAATAACACTGAGATTCTTGTGATGACTGCCTTTGGTAAAAAGATCGCGTCACATAATGACGATTCTCTCATAAGATCGTCGATTATTACTAATTTCGAAGAAAGCGGATCGTTCGAGTAATCTCTCGGATGTAATCGGGGTAATCCCTCGCGAAATTCAATTATGTTCTCCTTCTTCGTCGCTTTAGTATTGCTGCATCCCCAGCATTGTTCTTTGAATTTTTTTACACGTGTATCGTATTGTAATCGACGATAGGCTTCTTACCATTCCGCGTAATAAAACAAAATTCTCTCGAAGCACACGTCGGACATGAGAGATAAATGCAGGAGAAAAGCTTTCACGGGCTTTTCTCCTGCAAAAAAATTCTTTGTTTAGTTTGTTTTATAAAATCTTTTTGTACCTCCCTTATTAGAATGTCACAGAGAAGCTCGAAAAGAATTCCATCCTCTAATGGCTTAACTGACTCAGACAGTGATTCAGATAATGAAAATCAAACTAATGTAATACGACACAGAAATAGAAGAGCTATATGTAGTACTTCTGAATCAGAAGCTGAACAGATTGAAACCCATGATAATAACTCTGAAGTATGGACGTCAAAAACATTCGTCCCCAAAATATATAAGTTTGCGGTAGCGGACTCAGGAATTAAAAGAAATATTAATAGATCTGCAAAAATCTTAGACTTTTTCCAACTTTTACTTTCTGAAGAGCTCGTAGAGTTGATTGCAAGGGAAACTAATCGATATTGGTCTCGAAAGAATAATAATAACGTAAATATGTCAGATGGAACAGGACTAGCCGAATTATATTGTTTTTTTGCTGTGTCATTATTGATGACACGCAACAAGAAGTTATCATTAGCAGAGTACTGGAGTAAAGATAAACTTCTACGTAGCGATATTTTTGGAGAATTAATGACGAGAGACCGTTATTTCAAATTACTGCAAATGCTACATTTCACCGATGATGTTGGTCGTACTAATGATCGTTTGTACAAAATACGAAACGTCGTTGAAATATTACGAAAAGCATTTAATGAATCATTTCAGCCTTACCAACGGCTATGCATTGACGAAAGTCTGCTTTTGTATAAAGGGCGGCTTTCTTTTAAGCAATACCATCAAAGAGAAGCAGATTTGGTATAAAATCGTTTATTTTGAGCGACTGTGAGACAGGGTTCGTTCAAGATTTAATAATTTATGCCGGATCATCTACCATGGTGGATACTATAAAATTTAGATATTGGAAAATCTGGAGCAATAGTGGAAACCCTTATGAAGCCGCATCTAGGAAAGGGCCATACCCTTTATGTAAATAACTGGTAAGCGAGTCCCGCTTTATTTAAGTTTTTACATAATAATGGCACAAACGCGTGCGGGACCGTAACAAAAAGGAGAAAAGGAATGCCCAAAATTGACAAACGATTAAAAAAGGGGGAGGCAGCATTTAGATCATCCGATAACTTATTAGTCTTAAAATGGATGGATAAGAAAGAAGTGTATATGCTTTCTACAATGCATACAGCAGAATTTACAACGGTAATCAGGCACGGAGGAGAAAGAGTTATCCAGAAACCTGTATGCGTGTTAGACTACAACAATTCAATGGGTGCAGTGGATAAAGCTGATATGGTCATAAGCATTGTGAACTCGACACAGAAATCTTTGAAATGGTACCGGAAATTTTTCTTTCATTTGGTGGACATTTGCGTCTGGAACACTTATTGTCTGTACAAGCATAAGATGAAATGACCGATATCTATGGCAAGATTTCAATTGCAATTAATTAGGGAAATACTGGGAAATTACCATCAAAATATAAGTCATCAACATCTAACGGGGAATAATCATCCACTGAGATTAACAGAACGACATTTTCCGTCGGTTTATAAATCGGTAGGAAAAAAACCAAGAAGAAGGTGTGTCGTTTGCCATGCGAACGACAAAAGACGCGAAACTGTGTATGAATGTAAAAACTGTAATGTGGGATTGTGTGTCGACCCTTGCTTCAAAATTTATCACTGTGAATTAAATTATTGAGAATTTTAATTTGTTATTAGAAAGTGTTTGTTGTTTGTTATTGTAAAGTGTAATTTTTAATTTTAAAATATATTTTTATTGATAATAATTGCAAAATCTCCAAATATGTTGTTGTATAACACTTAAAGAATCGTACGATCCGGATAATGACGAGGCTGCATCGAAAGATGTAAGTCCGAACACCAGTTTACCTAAGCGCAACATGCACACTTTCCGGCGCAGTGCTCCGTTCAGTACCGCTACTCCGGCGGCACGGTGGCCCGTTCAGCGGTGTCACTCCGACGGAGCACACTGCCGTAGCGAAAGGGTTAAATTTAAAAACGAAATTCGAACGCGATATTTCCTCGTGCCAAACCATAAAACGCTCGTGTTCCTCGGGTTTCATTTGTTCGGGCGAATAATATCGTGCGTATGATATTGGACCAATATAATTTTGATTTTTTAATGTATTAAATAAATGAGGAAAAAACCTTTATCCAGAATATCCTGCAGCCCGAAAGCCTTGGGTAACTCCAATAATCGCATAGATATATAATTTGAGCTATCGATGAATTTTGTACGTCCAATCGTCATAATGATAATTTTCGTCCCGTTCAAAATCATCCGAGGTTCTTCAGTTACTCCCTCCAGCGCCGTGGGTGTGGCCTAGACGGGTCAGTCTGGAAAAAGGGCGCGTTCTGATTGGTCGAAGAGTGAAGGGAGGGGGTAATAGGGTAATTAAATGGTGTGTTCTGATTGGTTTGCCCTATACTTGCCAAAGATTTGATTGGTTCGCTCCATACCTACCCAAAAGGTGATTGGAGAGGGTAGGTGGTAGAGGGCCTTAGGCAAAATGGAGGTCTGAAAAATGGTGAGCGGAGATTGGGACTGCAGCATTCTTTTGTCGCGAGGGCAGAGGGTACGAACAGCGGTCGAATTTATGACGGTCGTTTTTTGTTGTTGCGTCGCAACATTTCCGATCTGTAGGCGTTTCAGTGAATGTTATTAATGAGAAAGGAGATCTTATACGAAAATTTGCGGGTCTAAAGAGAGTCTTGCTTTTGTTCGGAAAAATTTTGGGGGAGGTAAAACAGGAACGAACATGTTCAACTTTGCGGCGCGTCGTCTCCGCAACGGCGATTCGTGACGACTCGTTCGAGTGAGAGTATGATTTCTATGATGTATGGCAAGGATTTTATGAATTGTATTGTATTTTTTGTACTTTATTTAAAAATTTATATATATA